TATATTATTATTATTAATTGATTAATTAATTAATTGATCGATATTCGGTAGGTGCGTAAGGGAAAAAAAAGAGAGGAAGAGGATATAGACTCTACTGAAGATATTCTAAGTACCTTGTCTAACGAGAAAACAGCGAAAGAGAGACAGAGAGAGAGAGAAAGGGAGATCGCGTGCATGAGAACTCGACGAGAGAAAATGCGAGAATGAATGGACGAGAGTGAGGGAAAAGAAGTAAGCAATCGTTGCCCAAAGTTATTTACGATAATTTTTCTTTCTCTTAAGAGCGCGTTTCCGTTCCGCGAAGCCGCCATCCGCGATCAACCTCGACGATCGGTCTTCCTCCTTTTTCACCCGGTTTTCTTTCCCCTTTCTCTTAGATAGTCGAAAATAAAGCACGATCGTCGGGGTCGATCGTGGTAACTATCTAGAAAAATTCCAGGCGGCACGAACGCCGTTGTAGCGAACGAAAGAGAGGAAGAGAAGAACACGTGTACTGTAGATAATTTCTTGTTACGGCGCCGCCGGTGTCTCGTTTCGTGGCTCCTCCCTGGATCATAGATCCTCCACGCAGCTACGGATTCCTCTTTTTTGTTTTATCATTTTTCTCCCCCTCCCCGAAACAGAGAGTCTCTTCTTTTACTTTTCACTTCTCCGTCGTGCGCTAATCCCCCCCCTCCCGTCCGTCCTTCGTCCGAGCGAGAGGAACGTTCCGATCGCAAATTCAACCCCTCGTTGCTCGAAGGACGCGAGACGGGGGGTACGTGATGGCCGGAAGGAGACGAGGAGAGGAGGCACCACGAGACGCGACATCGTCGGCGCCCCACCTGTGCTCAAGTTGTTTAAAACTATTAGTTTGTTAACTAAGACGAGGAAGCGAGTGGAAGAGCGACAGAGGATGAACGAAAGACACGGATGCGTGAAGAGGAGAGAACGAGGAAGAAGTTTAGCTAATAATTTTCGCGTGGAAAGCATAAGCCCGTTCGCGGTCCAAGCTCCCGTTTCCCGCGACGTTGTTCCCCGTTCCCCCTCGGGATCGAGCGACGATCTCTTCGAGAACGATCCAGGCGTAGATCGTTAAATAAACGCGAACGGGGCGACGACGGGAAGAGCGCGCGAGGAAAATCGTTGAGGAAAAAAGGGGGTCGGCGTTCCGGGCTGATGATTATTTTATTATTATTTTATTAATATTATTATTATTAATATTATTATTATTATAATTATGATTTCGTTTAATAAACTGTCACGTTAAAAGAACACGTCTGACTTGGTGTAGGAGGGACGCGCCGGCCAGGCCGGCGGTCCTCCTCTGTCACGACATCATCATCATCATCATCCTCCCACGAGACTGCGACACCCGCCATATTCGAAAACTCCTCTCCCACCTATTCTCTTCGCGTCCATGGCAAATCGCGAGGCAACTACCGATTTCTCTACGCTCTCTCACACGGAACACGGGTTCGTTTTCCGTCGTTTATTCCGTCAAATTCATCCGCAACGATGGCGTGCGTTTATTTCATTTACAGATCGCGTGAAGCATAGGGGGTGGTCCGATTTCTCGTTGCCGAACAACTCCTCGCACATCTCCCCTCCCTTTTGTCTACCACCGACAGATTTCCTGTTGCAGTTTTCTTTGTCATAACGTATTTATTAATATTAGCAGCGGTTATGCAATGTGTAATATATTTCCGTATACAGGGAGATGCGATCCCTTCTGCGACTCGGACACGACTGACCAAAAAGAAAAAGAGAAAACAAACGAAAAACGCACCGCCTTTGGTGCAACATCGCAGTCACTCGCCAACATACGCACACACACTCACGCATCTATATCGTTGCCTTCCAACATCCTTCCTCAATTATGTACACACTAAAATTATTTACTTTGTTGAAATAGTCCAGACTTTTTTGCCATATACTTCAACTTTACTTTTCCCAGAGACTTTGTTAACATATCATCCGATGTATTATTTTTCCCTGATCCTTAACGTCTTTTATGCAGTGCAAGTTAGCGTCTATGTGCTTTGTTCTACTGTTGAATTTTTCGTTAGATGCGAGATTCAGGCAGCTTCGATTATCCTTATATACGATTATATCCTGGACATTTTCTCCGAAATCTTGCAATAGGCGTTGTAACCATACAACCTCTCGAGTAGCCTCTGCAAGTGCCACATACTCAGCCTCCGTGGAAGACAATGAGACGCAGGATTGTTTCTTACAAGCCCATCTTATCGAGGCTCCGGCAAATCGAAACAGATATCCGCTATTTGATTTCCTGTCATTTCTGTCCTGTGCCCAATCGGCCTCCGCGAAACCAATTAGTTCGTCCTTTTTAACCTGTTGACCCAGTTTCAGTTCGTAATCTATTGTTTCCTTTAAGTAACGTGCGACTCTCTTTGTCTCCGTCCAATCACTTCTCGTGGGATGCTTGTTGTGCTGACTTAACCCTCTATGGGCCCGTGTAACTTTCAAGTTACATGCTAATGTATGGGTATTTTATTAAATACCGCATTCATCGTTATCGTCTTGATCACTCCAGTTCGCGATTTTTCGTTCGATATATTTATAATTATTTTTGCAATACCTCCCGTGGTTCCATTTTTAAAAATTCTAATTCTTTTTCATTTACCGGTTATTCGATCATGATAGATTAGGTCCACTATGGCCCCCTATGACCTTTTCTCCACAAGATGGCGTGGAAAATTATCCTGTCTATCTATTGCACCTTATCTTGGCACAATAGTACAACCATTGTTAATTCAAATTTTCAATATGAATTCGTTATAATAAAATTGTCAAAACTGCTGAATTTATTGGTTGATATTTGTTGATTTTATATTACATACAATTCCTATATGTCAGGTCTAGTATTCACTGTCACGTACAATAATGCCCCGATGCGCTGTTGGCATTTGTTACTTTCTGGCATTTCCAATTTATTGTCTTTACATTTGAAATATCCTTGATCTAAAGTTGATATACTTGATCCTTTTGCATTTTGGAGACCAAATCTGTGATTTTCTTGATACATTTCGCTTGATTAATACAATAGGAACCTTCTTCATCTCTTCTAATTTCTATCCCTAAATGATGGCTCAATACTCCTAGGTCATTCAAATGAAAATATCTCTTTAATAACTCTGCAGTCTTATTAATTTTGCTGTCATTTTTTGCTACGATTAAAATGTCATCTACATAGATGGTAACATAAATTGGTTCTCCTTTATCATGCTTGATATATAGACACGAGTCTGCCTGACTCTGTTCGAAACCGTATTTCTTTAACAAATCGTTCAATTGGTCATTCCAAATTTTAACGGCTTGTTTGAAACCGTAAATACCTCTTTTAAGTTTACAAACATACTCACCTTTACCTGGTATTTCGTACCCCTCAGGTTGCTCCATAAATACTGTCTCGGTCAATTTTCCGTTTAAAAAGGCTGTTTTCGCATCAAAATGTTTGATCAACGTGCCTTTTTGTTCAGCGATCGTTAAAAGTGTCCTGAACGTTGATTGTCTTACTACTGGCGCGAAAACCTCATCGTAGTCGGTGCCACACTTTCGTGAAAACCCTCGAGCGACGAGTCTGGCCTCGTGTCTCTCCACACCTTCATCGACGTTTCGCTTAATTTTGAAAACCCATTTACACGAGATTATATTTCCATTCTCTGGTTTCTGTACGTCAGGAGTTGTTGCCCATCAATGAATTGATTTCGTCATCCATAGCTCTCTTCCAGTTATCCTTATCAGATCCAGCCAATGCTTCCTTCGCACTACTTGGTTCACGTTCTGTATTCAGAGCAATGCTTGAAAATGCTACATACCTGTCCGGTGGTACTCCTTTATTTCTTCTTTGAGACTGTCTGCACTGTATTTCATTCATTTCCTCTTGGTCCCCGTTCGCTTCATTACTCGACATATATTCGTCTGTGCTTAACCCTTTGAGTCCCAGAGGGTTTCGAAAATACACTGTCGGGGAATCCCAAGCAGCGCGACTGCGCTGCTTCTAAGTGGGTACGAGATGACCCAAGCAGCGCGACAGCGCTTCTTCTATTTTATGTCGAGACATTCCAAGCAGCGTGATAGCGCTTCGTTTATATTATGGCGATGAATGGCCAAGTGGCGCGATAGCGTTTCGACTTCGACAGTCGGTGACACACCGTCAGCTGTCGAGAACACTCGTAATCCGCTGGGCCTTCTCGACATGAAATCTGAAAAGCGCGATCGCGCTGCTTGGGACACAAACGGTTAATCTATCTTCCGAAGATTCTTGATCGGATAATTTAATTTTAAAATATGTTTATTTCCGTACCACGTTTTTAATGCCGTCTCTGAACATTCTCTTGTATCTTCTACTCCTTTATATCTCTTGTATTCATCCATTAATTTGTTCTTAACAAGTTCTAACGTAAAGTCACCATTTCGGGCCCGCTTTCAAGCACCGTCACGAGAGTTTCATAAGATTCAGGAAGGCTTCCGAGTAGCATTGCACCCATAAGATTGTCTGTTAAATCTTGTCCGAGGGCAGCCAGTTTCTCAAAGTAACCACACATTGTAGTCATATGTTCTTCCATGTCACCGTTCTCTTTCACGGCCGTTCTACATAATTGTTTTAACAAAAATACTTTATTCGTCAAGGTGGCTTTTCCGGTGATATCCTTTTAATGAGTTCCATGCCTCACATGCTGTCTTGGCATTCCCGATGTGCTGCAATTGGCTGTCTTCTACTAACAGTCCAATTGCAGCACGTGTTTCGTTATCCTTTTTCATCCTCCGTAGCTGTTTTCTCATTCTTTATCACGTCCCACAGTTTTTCTTTGATCAGTAGGAGTTCTAATTTACAACTCCATACCGAGTAATTTT